ACCCATTGAAATCAGGGTAGCAATGGCTGAAGCTGTCAAAGCTGGCATTGTGTTTTTCAGGACGGCCTCTGACGGCATTTTGACAAGTGACGTCGTACCGCCTCAATACATTATCTCTGTCGATGACACTGCCAAGAAGGTGAATTTGTATCGTCGCCAGCAGGAGGTCGCACAGTCTGCAGCGAGCAGTGGGGGAGAAGTTGGAGTCCAGCAGCTTGTCGAGACCTTTGAGGCCAAGGCATCAAAACGGACGGGTTCCACGTCTCCGGCCGCCTCAACTGGCGCGCCCACTGCAACGGAAATTTTCCCAGGAAAGGTGAAGCCTCCGCCACCAAATGTGGCCCAACTTGCCGGTATGCCTGGATATGCAAGCAGCAGATTGTTGCCCCCTCCTCCGAAGGGTGAAGCTCCAAAGCCTCCTGCAGCAAAGGTTGAAAGCCCAAAGACACCGCCGAAAGCGCCTCCAAAACCATCACCGAAGGAAGGGACTTCTGCACCTCACGCACCAGAAGTTCCAAAAGCTGTGACCTCAGAAGTTGATGCAGCAGCAAAGGATGAACCTGCAAAGAAGAAGGCAGCCCTGACAAGCGTGCCCGCAGCTGTACCTGCGGCATCATCAGCTGCGGCCTTCTTGGAGCCTGTTTCAAAAGTTGCACCGCCGAAGGCAGTACAGAAAGATCCAAAAGCTCCAGTTGCAGAGTCACCCAAAAAGACGCCGGCATCAACATCAAAGTCACTGGTGCCAAAGCAGAAGTCTCGCCCTAAAGGCGATGACCAACCTTCGAAGAAAGAGGTGAAGAAGGAGGACAAGAAGCCGGTGCCGGTCAAGATTGAAGTCACGCAATGTTCAAGATGTTTTGCACAGACTTTCAAGGGACAGATTGAATGCGATGTGTGTGGATTGATGCTCGAAGGGGTGAACAAGGCCGACCGAACCAAGATTGCAGAACGAAGGAAGGCCGCCCTTCACAAGCTGGGCTTGTACTATGATTTTCGTGGTGAGTACCTGCAGAGCATCACACACAGTCAGCTTGAATCTTTGGGTTTGTTGGACGACCAGGCAAGAGGAAGCTCAAGTCCGGAAGCCAGTCTATTGGCAAGGGCAAAGAGTCGATTCGACCGTGCCTTGAGCTTGGGCTATGTGTCTGTGGCTGACAGGTTTGCCCAGGACGCCACATTCGCAGAGAGCGTGCTGAACGAGGGGGAGAACGAGTACGATTGTGAAAGGTACGACCTCCTCAAGTCTGCACATTTGCCAAAGCCGGGTCGCACCAAAGCTCAGGTCAAGATGGGTGTTTCTGAGCAATCTCAGCTGGAGCACAACGCGATGAGGCTGGTTTACTTGGATTTGGCAAGCCGTCTTGATGTCCCGAAATCGTTCAGGTACATCGACCAACCATGGTTCTACATGTACCGTACGGAAATCTACTCCGAGGAAGAGTACATTGACTACCTCAACCGGAATCCTGGACACAATCTTTTGTTGTCTTGTACCGGTGTTGACAACATTGCTGTTCACGATGCTGAACGTCATTTGAAGTGGATCAAGGGACAAAACGAGGAGCTGTACAAGCAGAACGCTGCAGAGAAGAAGAAGCAGTCTGACAGGGCTCGCGAGCAGAACGAGGCCAAGCGCAAAGCTGAGCAGACTGGAGCGTACGGCCAAGGTCCCTCCAAGAAAGGCACCGCCAAACCGGTTGCCCGACCATCCACCGTAGAGGTAGCTTCATCATCAACGTCTGCAAGTCAGTGGATCAACCGCCCTCAGCAAAGTCAGTCCCACGATGATCGCCGTTACACTGGAGAATGGCAGAAGTGGCATGGGCGCTGGTACGAGAAAGTCATCAGGCATGGCCGTGTTGAGTGGGAAGAGGGATAAGTTGTGAAACTGCTTGCATCGACGATCGATTTTTGTACAATAGCCGCCATGTTGGGTTTCCTCAGGTCGTGCAAAAGAGCCAGGAGCGGTAAGGCAGGTCTTAAAGACCTCGCCCTGGTAAATGGGCAGCCTTGCCGTGACCGGCTCACCTGAGGGGGGTGTATTTGCACTCCACCACAAAACCCATGTATCATAGTTGCATCTTACAGCTGTTGCGGCTCAGTAAAAAGGTATTGCTGCCGCAGATGCTTAACGGTTGTTTCCCCGTGTTATAGGTTTATCAGTCTATTTGGGATAAGTAAATTACCCCAGCTGAAACCTGAAAATACAGGTTCACATCATACTAATCACTATTAATTAATAGACATCTAGCGACATCTATAGACTCTAGATCATCATATTAATCCATATGACCCTCTGGTAAACGTTTACATAGCCATGGGAAATCACCATTTTATAGCTGGGTAAATCTAATCTGTTTGGTGGTTCACATCATACTAATCACTATTAATTAATAGACATCTAGCGACATCTATAGACTCTAGATCATCATATTAATCCATATGACCCTCTGGTAAACGTTTACATAGCCATGGAAAATCACCATTTTATAGCTGGGTAAATCTAATCTGTTTGGTGGTTCACATCATACTAATCACTATTAATTAATAGACATCTAGCGACATCTATAGACTCTAGATCATCATATTAATCCATATTACCCTCTGGTAAACGTTTACATAGCCATGGAAAATCGCTGGGTAAATCTAATCTGTTTGGTGGTTCACATCATACTAATCACTATTAATTAATAGACATCTAGCGACATCTATAGACTCTAGATCATCATATTAATCCATATGACCCTCTGGTAAACGTTTACATAGCCATGGAAAATCACCATTTTATAGCTGGGTAAATCTAATCTGTTTGGTGGTTCACATCATACTAATCACTATTAATTAATAGACATCTAGCGACATCTATAGACTCTAGATCATCATATTAATCCATATGACCCTCTGGAACGTTTACATAGCCATGGAAAATCACCATTTTATAGCTGGGTAAATCTAATCTGTTTGGTGGTTTCACATCATACTAATCACTATTAATTAATAGACATCTAGCGACATCTATAGACTCTAGATCATCATATTAATCCATATGACCCTCTGGTAAACGTTTACATAGCCATGGAAAATCACCATTTTATAGCTGGGTAAATCTAATCTGTTTGGTGGTTCACATCATACTAATCACTATTAATTAATAGACATCTAGCGACATCTATAGACTCTAGATCATCATATTAATCCATATGACCCTCTGGTAAACGTTTACATAGCCATGGAAAATCACCATTTTATAGCTGGGTAAATCTAATCTGTTTGGTGGTTCACATCATACTAATCACTATTAATTAATAGACATCTAGCGACATCTATAGACTCTAGATCATCATATTAATCCATATGACCCTCTGGTAAACGTTTACATAGCCATGGAAAATCACCATTTTATAGCTGGGTAAATCTAATCTGTTTGGTGGTTCACATCACACTAATCACTATTAATTAATAGACATCTAGCGACATCTATAGACTCTAGATCATCATATTAATCCATATGACCCTCTGGTAAACGTTTACGTAGCCATGGAAAATCACCATTTTATAGCTGGGTAAATCAACGAACTAAATGGCCATTTTCAATAGCATATTAACTGGTTTTATTTATAGGGGACAAGCATCCAAGGGTAAATCGTATGGAACTGAATACAGTTATGGCCATTTATCAATTATAAGTACTAACAAAACCCCATTTATAGAATGTATCATCCCATAGAAATAACCAGTTGTAACTGATAAATGGCCATAACTGTGGATGGTTGAAATCCATATTATAGGCTTTCAACCATCCCTACGGTGGTGCAGGTTTTTTACCGTCCACAGAGCGTCACACGCCGGCATCGTCGCCCCGATTTTATTAGGGTTTGGCCGAACATGGGGAAATATCAAACATGACAATTTCAATGGATTGGTTTAAGGGAAAATCTACAGGAATCCATAGTTTTTTCTCATTAAATATGGGGTTTTCCTGTAAATTTTCCCTTAAACCAATCCATTGACAATTGTATTAACATCGAAACACCAACGAATTATCATGATAGTTGGTTCCAGATGTATCCATCAGATCACATCAGATCACGTTAGTTCCAGAAATAATCAGTAGGATATGTCCACCTATACTCACGTGAATAGTAGAAACCACGATAATCACGTTAGTATTCCCCCGACATCATTGTAGTCCAACATAGTACAAATCATAATCAGTTGTTTTCGAATGTTTTCGATATATGTTAGTGAAACAATGATGATGAAACCATTAACTATAGATACATCTACCATAAACCATCGTCAACCTCTAGGCTGTAGTGGCTTCATCACCTTGGGGCTTAGCATATCGCTGAGGCGCCCATTTTGGAATGCCCCAGCTTCAAGCGCGACGGGAAACCCAGACAACGACTGGATGACTGGAGATGTCTAGAAATCGCTGCCCAAATTCACCGGTTCTGTTTTTGTAAACGACTGTTGGTCAGATGCCAATATCCATATGGATCCATGTGGGATGAGTTAAGTATGAAACGACTGCAAAACATAGCGATCAGTTGAAGTTCCTTGGATAAGGAGATGTTGATAGTTGATTCTCCATCGAAAATTGCCACGTCAACATGTCAATCAATGGATTGCTTTGAGGGAAAATTGCAACCGGAAACCATGGGTTTTTGCCATTAAGATCATGGGGTTTTCCTGTTTCAATTTTCCCCAGTTATGGCCATTTATCAGTTATAAGTACTTACTAACAAGTCACCCCATTTATAGAATGTATTTCATCCCATAGAAATAACCAGTTATAACTGGTTTTTATGGCCATAACTGCAGTAACTATAGGTATAAGTACCATAAACCATAGTTAAATTGTTGATGAATATATACATATATAATATATTATAATATCATATTAGTACGATTAACCAGTACATTTCAATTTTCCCCTAAACCAATCCATTGAGTCAACATGTCAACATGTCAACATTTCTTGATCTTGCTGCCGGGAGGACGTGGGTCACCTAGCCAACTGGAGAAGCAAAGCTTCTCAGATTCCTGCCGGACAAGCTGGTTTCATCGTGGCAGTCCCTCGGTCCTTTGTGTGTCGGCTGGAGGTTTTCTTGTTTTTGGAAGTCCTTCAACTTGTCGTGTTTGGGTTTAATTTAACAGAACTATGGAAAATCACCATAGAAATAGTGAAATTTCCCATGGAAAATGGTGATTTTCCATAGTTACGTTAGTTTACCCTCTGGTAATTTAACATAGTGAACTGGAAAATCCATTATAAATGGAGGTTTTATTGGGAAAATCATCTGTAAATGGTCCATTTTCCATAGCTATGTTAAATTACCAGAGGGTAGTGTTTTTTTTCGCGGTATCCAAGACTGGCCATGTTTTTTTTGTTGAAGAATAACACATTGCTTTGGGCTAATTGATAGCTTTAGTTTTCACCCATTCCCAAGTTCCGGCTATGAACATGGAAACTGATTATTTACACGTGTTTACCATTTAGTTGGCCATTGTAATCCTTTTTTGAAATAGATACATAGGTCGTACATGAATTACACCATGATACATAACACAAACACATGCACACTAATTGTATCAACTCATTTATCAAAGTAGTTGCACATCTCATTTGGTATCAACCATTATAGTTGTATATTATTGTTAATTATTATTATTAGATATCAACCAAGATGAACTATTATATTGTATATACAGTATATAGCAGTATATTATATATATATATATATATATTCAGAATTGTGATAATGAAAATTCATTGTATCTATTGTCTGGGGATGTATAGGTCGTGGTTAAAAAAAATATATATATATATATCAAACACTATTATCAAAAACATATATCGTTTAACATCCGTCCATATCATTTTATAATAATAATAATACAAAATCTATATCGAAATATGGACAAATAAATAATATCAAATTCATAGCTGGTTGGTGTTTTGGAACATTTTATATTTTTCCATATATTGGGAATTTCATCATCCCAACTGACGAACTCATATTTTTCAAGATGGTTAAAACCACCAACCAGATATATATGTAACTATCATTTGTAAGGCATGTTATCCCATAAATCGTTTATAAACATATAAACCCAGTTCATTAATGACCATTCATAGCTATTGAACATGGCCATTTGTAATTGATTTTCCCATTCAAAATGGTGATTTTCCATGGTTATGTAAACGTTTACCAGAGGGCGATATGGATTAATATGAGACAAACCACCTATCAAGTGGTGTGGATACCCATAGGATCCATGTATGCTACATATGGTATCATCTATCATCAATATACCCAAATGTTCGCATATATACCAGCACCATGGATCCTACAGTTATGGTCATTTACCAGTTATAAGTACTAACAAGTCACCCCATTTATAGAATGTATTTCATCCCATAGAAATAACCAGTTATAACTGGTTTTTATGGCCATAACTGTACCACGAATTTCGTCCATATCCTTTGGCCATCCCCTGGCCCTTCCCATCCCGTGGCATCTGCGTGGCCGAGATCTTCTCCATCGGCTGTATTCTCACCTCCTTTCCGCCCATCAGTAGTTGCTGGGAACAAAGTTCAACGGTGCCACCGTTGAACGAGGCCCCTCCTACGTCATGTGATATTTGTTGGTTTATAACTATAGTTGGTATTTCTTTTTATGTTTATATGTGTTTTTGGTGATTACAACTGTTTTTTTGTACCTAGTTATTATGTTATTGTAGTTTTAATTACTATGGGTTTGTAGCTGTATTATCATTGCCACTATTGCAGACACCCTAGCCATAGCTACAGTTGTAATTACTATAAACATCCATAAACCAATGAAATTGTAGTTATGTTCACCAACTTTATCTTGGAGGCCCCAACCACGTACCCTCGGTTTTGTTGGTGCAAGTGGCATTTGTGGAATTGCTTTGATTCATAGGGGATAGCATTGAGAGTTGCTGAGTTTTTTCTTGGGATTCTCTGGTCATCAAACATGGGCGCCATGGAGGTCTTAGGAAAATCATCGAAGATGTACATACTTTGGAGGGCAAAAGCCAGGGAATGTTTGACCTTTTCATGGACGTACCGAGAAAGACATGATATACTAAGATTGTTTATTCACCTGTGGGCCGCAGATTTTTCGCGGAGGGTGATCCCTGGAACAAGTTACTGCAAGAGCTTGAAATTTGGACACAACGAACCAATTTTGGAGATTTGGACCCAGTGGAAATAGTTTAAACTTTGGAAGTGATACAGCTACAAAGAGCAACGAAACGTACCCTCTGGTAAATAAACATAGACCCTGAACACAGCCAATTTTTAATGGAAACTAGTCTTCCAACCCCTATCTGCCAGGGTCTATGTTAATTTACCAGAGGGTAATTATTGATACCTTCATACAAAATCCAGACCAATAGAAAGTTAGCTGGGCTCATAATATATTGATTGGATTATATACTGTGCAGGTATTCTTATTTATGTATATAATATATATATATATTACCAGACATTATATATATAATATTACGAAACGTATTACCAGCAAAGCTCCAGGTCCAAGATGTTCCCAAGTTCCCAAGGCGTCAAGTTTTGTCACAACTGACCAACTGACTGGTCAACCTGATAAACAACTAAAACATCGCAAAAAAAACATACAATGTGAGGCCCCCGTTCGATAGCTACGTTGGTGAACATAACTCCAATTTCACTATGGTTTATGGTACGCAAATAACGAACTAGTTACTGGGGCGAATCTAAACCAACAAACATCACTGGGGGGCCTCACATTGTAGGATTTCCATCTACATCCCTATGTTGTGTGGCTTGGCTTCTCATTTTGTGAGTCAGATCCCTATGCTGATCGAGATCTAAATGTTTAGTATTTGATGGTATTTGTATATTGCAAGTTGTCATCCAATGTTTTATTGTTGCTGTTCTGTCAGCGCGTGAATGCCGGGAAAGTGACCTCAAAAGCTGGTTGGGATGAACATCACTGTTCTCCCGAACCCTGGAATCATGGTTTATTTCAGAGACATCATCCACAAATGGCCGAACATTTCAGGTTAGTGAAATATTATAATTTATCCAGTGATACATTATACTATGATCGTATGAACATCCCAAAATATCATAAAATATCAACATGTGACATATTTGCGGGGATGAAGATGATGAAGATCCACAACTACCAGCCGAGGTTTCTTCTTAGACGAGCTTGGACGGCGGAGTAGCATCCTCTTGGGTGGCGTGACTTGGCCTGTGATATCTTTGATACTGGGATCACGAAAAAGATCAATAATTATCAATATTTATCAATAGTTATCAATAGTTTTCAGAAATTACTGTATCAATAATTATCAATAGTTATCAATATTTTTGAATAATTATCAGCTTGTGATAGCTTATGATAGCTTATGATAGCTTATTTTATTGACCTGTAATCAAAGATGACAATGGAATATCATCCATTTAACGTTGAAATTCCAAAGATCCCCCCCTTCGATCGCCATCCGGAACAGCGACCAAACATGGTCGCTCGGAGCGGTTTAATGATCGTTTGGGACAAGGGGAATCATCCCCAAAAGAAACGTTTACATCAATGGATTGGTTTAAGGGAAAATCTACCGGAAACCATTGATTTTCCCATTAAATATGGGGTTTTCCTGTAAATTTTCCCTTAAACCAATCCATTGATTACATCTCCGATTTGGGAATGATTGGTTTAAATTTGCGAAGAATTGTGGTTGGCCTGAAGGTATATTCAAAACGTATCAATTGACGTAGGAATTCTGCTTTCCTGACTCCTCGACTTTCCTGCGGCGGTTCAATGTTACATTCTGTGGACTTGGAGGATTGACAAGGAGACATCTTCCATCATCCCGAACTGTGTGTTGTATGTAGCGGCAAATCCCTTAAAAGTGGCCCCCCGTGATAGATAAATTGGTGCAGAACTAAGTTTGCGAATGTTTATGGAAGTTTATGGTAGATATATCATACCTCTCATGAGATGGAAGATGGATTATGAAGCAACAAACAGAATTGGGGAGTTCACGTTGTAATTACAGTTATGGCCATTTATCAGTTATAAGTACTAACAAGTCACCCCATTTATAGAATGTATTTCATCCCATAGAAATCACCAGTTATAACTGGTTTTTATGGCCATAATTGTAGGATAGTTTGGATGAATATATACATATATAATATCATGTTAGTATGATTAACCATAATATATTAACCATATATTAACTGTACTTTACTGTCTAATCTCTCTGCCCATTGTGCCCATTGTTTTATGGGAATGGTGTTGGTCCCAAGGTGATATTCCTAGCTGGTTGTGCTCTTCAAGCTTTGAGCCAGTCCATGATAGCGACTTGGCTGCGAAAAAATGGAGCAATGGCTGCGAAAAAACCTCTGTTGGTGCATTATTTGCTCCCCAATACCCAGATGCTCCATGTATGGAATATTTACCTACATTTGGTTCGTTTTTGGGGTAAATGTAGGTAAATATTCCATATATGGAGCATATGGGATATGTGGAAATTTAACCATCATTTAACCATCATTTACGGATATTGAGGGGTTGTAACTTGTAACCTTTAAGAATTTTTGAATTTTATGAACATCAGCCATATGGTCATTTAAAAATGATGGCTGGTTGATGATTAGTTTTGGGGTTCTACTACCCTTAATATTATATTGGGGATTATCATCATCTATGGACTGGGAATTCAGTTCTCAATCAAGCAGTATTTCATGGAATCACAACCAGCAGGGTTTGAGCACTTCCGAATTGGGAATTCGTAGGTTCTTCAGGTTCGCCCGTGTTCTTTCCAGGCCCCAACGGATTCGTGTCAAAGTTTAGTAACAGTTTAATACTCCAAACTGCTGTGAAAATCTTCAAACCTTGAAATATTTCAGGATAAACCCACCCAGATATCTCCCGGGCAAGAACCATTGATATAGCTGGTTTTTGTTTATTTCGAACATTTCTTATTGTTCCATATATTGGGAATTTCATCATCCCAACTGACGAACTCATATTTTTCAGAGGGGTAGGTCAACCACCAACCAGATAGACAATTTATAATTCATTTATGATGTATATACACATACATAGATGCCTTACTGTCATCCATCCAACTGTAGATATGAGCGTAAGCCCATTGCTTGCCTGGTTTATTAACCATCATTGACCATATAATAACCATTTTTATATTAGCCATATATTAATGGTATTAATCCAACCAGATAGACAATTTCGCCCCCGTTCCATCCACGTTTCCCCCTCCATCGGTTCCACGCCACGAGGTCTTTCTGCTGGGCCGCTTAGTGACAGGCACCTCAATTGGACTGTTGAGTAATGTGGTGCCCCTCTACCAGGTGCGCTGAAAACGCCAGCCCGAGACGGGGCTGAAACAACGGTTGAAAAGGCCCCACAGTTATGGCCATTTACCAGTTATAACTGGTTATAAATGGGATTATACATTCTATAAATGTGGTTTTGTTAGTACTTATAACTGATAAATGGCCATAACTGCAAATGATAGCGAAGGTAGTGTTGAAGGATTGTTTTTTGTTGGATTTGTGCCAGGATTTGTGGCAATGTGTGGTGGATTCGGATATTTACCCCCTGGTAAATTAGCATAGACCCTGAAATCACCAATTTTTAATGGAAACTAGTCTTCCAACCCCTATCTGCCAGGGTCTATGTTAATTTACCAGAGGGTAAATATAAATATATATTTAAGATGTTGAGTAACAATCGTGGAGATACAGCCGTTATGAACCATCAATATCTAGCTACACTCTGATCAAAGCTGGCAATGGGATGCAATGGGAAAACACGATTTCGCCGCCTTTCGCCGCTTTTCCGGGTAACAATGGGCTGCCTCACCAAGGGCTGGATGTCACCATTTTTTCCAACTGATTTTCTTCCAATTCATCTGCAATGCCCGGTGAACCGGGGATCCCATCAGTCGTTTTTTTGTTTTTTACCATTCTGATTTACCCATGATGTCCCCATGATTCACCATTAAAAGTGGGGATCAAGTCCTAAGCAAATCATGGGTGAATGTTGCTGAAAAAAAAGTGGTGGAATGTGGTCCAATTCGTGCAAGGTGGTGCCTCAGAGCTGGGTCGGGTTCACGCAAAGTTGGGGGCCACAGAAGTCCAATTTCACGACTGGGTTTATGGTAGATATACCTATACTATCCTATACTTGATGGGGCTTATAAACCAACAAACATCACTGGGGGGGTTACTTAATGGGGCTTATAAACCAACAAACATAACTTATAAATTATAACTGTGGGGGGCAACACCTTGTGGTAAATATTGCTAAAACGAAGCACTAACCGTCACTAACGAGAAAAAAACGATGCGATGCCTCCATCATCTCCCAGTCTCGTGGAGGCCGAGATGGCACCCGCTGAGTTGCGAGGCACCCTGACGTCCATGTACAACATGATGATCACCACAGGCTGGGAACGACTTAGACTTCGCCGAGGATCTACAAAGGATCACTGGTTATAAACCAAAACATGGTTACTGGTTGGTGGTTTCAAACATTGTTTTTCCCCATAATATATGGGATAATCCTTCCCATCGACTAATATTTTTCAAGATGGTTAAGACCACCAACCAGTGGTTAGTTGTGACCCAGTTGTGGGATGGGGTGAACTATTTAGTGGTGCTTGGGATATCTATGAATGTTTCAGGGTTTTTTCGGCAGAATCCGGCCATGGGGGATACCAACAAACGGAGTGATCTTCAAAGCAAATGAGGATTTGCAACTGACAGGAGTAACCATGGTTAGTTATGATATAATATCGTTATAAATGGAACACACCAGGAATAGTGTCGTACCAATTTTCAGCTTATTATATGTTATCCAGTTACTAATTTGCCGGGCACTTCTTCTGCCACACATTCACTGATGGTCCCAATGCTTCATGGCTGATAGAAATGGAGCCAGATGAATGTTGGGAGATTTCTTCGGACACGCAGTGGGAAAATGAGGATTTGACCTTAAGAAATGTGGATGTAGCAACCGACAGGGAACGAATGCTGCAACACTTTCGTGACAAAGAAAGATTGGGACTTAACCAGGAAGAGTCGCAGGTCTATGATAAGTCGTCTTCCAATTCAGAGCTTCTACCAGTAGTGGGACAGCAGGTTTTAACTTCTGATGTCATGCACAATGGTGCTAGTAGAATCCAGTAGACTCTACTGAACGTATGCAGCATGACAACCAATGGCCTCAAAACATTGGGAACTATTGGTGACAGGGTGTCCGCGCAAGCCCGTTGCTATCATCCATCCAGAACAAGTGGGAGATATCCCCTCGATTGCCATGATGCAAGACACTTGCAAGCTCTAAAAAAATAGAACAGTAAAGTCCCATTAAAACGATTGGGTGACTGTTCTATTGGTTTGTGATTGGTTTGGGGTTAGTATTTGATGCAACATTGCATGCAACTTAGCCCTTCAACAGATAGGGGGATTGGCATCCCACCCTTCATCGGGGCCAGCGACTATAGATAGCTATAGCAACCCCCAAAAAAGATAGATCTTCATCCTTAGAGTTATGGCCATTTATCAGTTATAAGTACATTTATAGAATGTATAATCCCATTTATAACCAGTTATAACTGGTAAATGGCCATAACTGTAAAATAGTGGTGAATTATTCTTTTTGATCCTTTTTTTTCGTGGGGCCAATACCTCACCGCACTCACTGGAAATTCCTGTTTTGACCCTTTTTTAACAAATCACCAAGGGGGGTGTAACACGTTTGTACCTCCAGATCTAGAAAAATGGTCATTAATTACATGACCCAATGTTTTCCAACACCAAAACTGAGAAGCTTTGGGATAGGGGTGTTTTTGTAAGGCTTATTGCTTAAGGTTCCATTAATGAGCCTGTGCTAGTAAGATTTCAAATGGATCAAATGGACTTTACTGATTGGTGGTTTGGAACATGAATTTTATTTTTCCATTCAGTTGGGAATAATCATCCCAACTGACGAACTCCATCATTTTTCAGAGGGGTAGGTCAACCACCAACCAGATTTGGAATCATTAATGGCCATTTATAGCTATTGAAAATGGCAATTAATTTATAGTTGATTTACCCATCAAAAATGGTGATTTTCCATTGTTATGTTAGTTTACCAGAGGGGCAGGTATACCACCAACCAGACTTTCATAAAGGGCCTTATTCCGTACCGGTACTTGGAGGTTCATCCCATCGTGGTGAGAAACAAACCCCCGATTCGTGGGAATTATACCATTTTCAGAACAGCTAACTGTTATTTTTGTTCTAACAAACTATATATGGTATTATATTTGTTCGAACCAACTATATGTTTTCTATTTTTTCTAACTAATTTCTAACTATAACTATATGGTATTACCCAGATGCTCCATGTACATTTACCCCAAAAATGGCCCTTTTTTTTAGGTAAATATTCCAGCACCATGGTTCGCATCTGGGTTATATTGTTACAATGTGAGGCCCCCCAGTGATGTTTGTTGGTTTAGATTCGCCCCAGTAACTAGTTCGTTATTTGCGTACCATAAACCATAGTGAAATTGGAGTTATTAGTTCACCCCAACTTAGCGTTTGTAAACGGGGGCCTCACATTGTAACCATGGATATATGGATATATTAATAACCATTATATTCATCTACTATAATGACCATGAAATATCAATATATAATATTAACATTGTACTATTTTTCGTCGGACCGCGGGATGTTTCCGATGCTGCGAGGCATCTTTGTCGCCGCGTTACTGGATGAATTTCTGGTGGACATCGATGGGGGCTGGAGAACCGCCATCCTCCTACAGGTGGACGGACTGTGGCTCCGGAGAAGGGGCTTGAGGGCTTGAGCATAGCTTCAGAACAGGTCAAAGATAAAGATTTTTCGAGATATATCATTATATATCATATATAATCAGATTGGTATATCATATGGTATATCTCAGGTTCAAATAAAATGACCCAAAAGCAATAAATCTGCGGAAAAGATGTTCGTTTGGATGGCTTAACAATGAACTTGACCAATTCTGTGGGATGCCCTGCGGATAAAAATCCGAATGGGAGATCCCAAAACCAGTGGTATTTATCGTGATTTCCCTGATTGAGGTACCGTTATAAAATATGACATAATATGACTATCATTTAATTTCGGGGTATATAGTATTATGAATTATGTATAATTATGTAGTGTGTATATATATATATTAATATATTAATTAAAATATATCATTTCAGAACAGGCCCACATATCATTTAAGTTGGTCATACTTTCTTCTATTCCCGTGCTGTTTGGTTACGACAAATCCATGGAAAAACCCGCTCAACTTTGTGGATTTCCATGGTGATTCTCATGGTGATTCCCCACGTCATTTATCGCTGGTTGGTGGTTTCAAACATTGTTTATTTTCCATAATATCTGGGTAAATTATAACGACCTCACTGTTCTCCCTCACTGGAATCATGGTTTATTTGAGGGGAATCATCCCAAAATGGCCGAACTATTCAGGTTCGTGAAATATTATATAATTTACCCAGATAATATATGGAATGTCATCCTTCCCATTGACGAACTCCATCATTTTTCGAGATGGTTAAAATAACCACCAAGCAGATATTTTCTAGTTATATCATGTTATATATCATGTTATATCCACCATAAACCATAGAATTCAGCCATTTTGATCCACCTTGGAACCTGTTGGAACTTTCGTCACCGAGCAACGCCAACATCGGCAGACCATCCCAGCCATGGTGATCTTGGCATCTTGGCGCCGGATCGTCCCAGGCTGCTGAATGAAAAAAGTGTGGCTCCCATTGGCAAAACTGGATTTATAGTAGCTATCAATGGATTGGTTTTCTTGGGAAAATCTACAGGAAACCATGGTTTTTACCATCAAATATAGGGCCATAAAAACCAGTTATAACTGGTTATTTCTATGGGATGAAATACATTCTATTTTCATGGGGTTATAAACATAGAGAAAACTATTGAAAATGACCATAGACATAGTGGATTTTCCCATAAACAATGGTGATTTTCCATAGCTATGTTAAATTACCAGAGGGTATAGTAACTACCCTCTGGTTATGTAATTATGGGGATATAGTGAGATATAATGTGAAAAAACAGATAGACTGGGGATATAATGGGAATATGACTGGAATTGACCGGAATATGAAAGATATACCGATATACCCTCTGGTTGTGTCAAAATAGCTCTTGAAAATGGCCATTGAGTTCGTTGATTTACCCAGCTATAAAATGGTGATTTTCCATAGCTATGTAAACGTTTACCAGAAGGTATATGTAACTGTAATTATGGTACAGTTATGGCCATTTATCAGTTATAAGTACTTATAACCCCATTTATAGAATGTATAATCCTATTTATAACCAGAGTTATAACTGGTAAATGGCCACAACTGTATGGCATGTTATCCCATTTATAAATCGTTCAGTTAAGCCAGTTATACAACCAGCTTCGGAAGTGAGGTGATCCTTCAAATGCCAAACTTTCTCTTGGCCGATGGTCTTACTATCTGGTTATGACTAACATAGCCATGGAAAATCACCATGCTATTAATAGGTAAACCATCTTTTTCTATGGGCCATCTATACCATGGCTATGTTAGTCATAACCAGATGGTACTATCATGTCATTGTGTATCATTTACCCCTTATCCACAGCATCACCATGCTCCATTTTCCTCATCATCCTCCATTCACCATCGTCAGTCCGTCATGATAATAATCACAATCATTTTGAAAAAGGTCGATTAAGATAAATTCTCTCTAGAAGCCCCTATATTTGATTATATTTGCTGATTTTCATCCCCTTTCTTTGCCGTTGCGTGGTTCAGAACGCACCAAAAAAAATCATCGCTCTGCTCGAAGCGCACCGAGCGACTGAGGCATGTATGCCGTTCCTACCTCGATCGCCCAGATGGCTGGTCCAGCAGGTGTCGTGCAACATGACTTTGGTTGGCATTTTTTGCGAAATAGCCGTGGTTCTATGGTCTTTTAAGCCATGTTTATAGATTCAATGGGAATTTCAGGATCCTAAAATGGAGGTACTGTACCATATAAGGCTATATTTTGTGGGGATATTCCCTTATATAGGCCTTACATAGGCCTTATATATGGTAGGTACCTCCAATTTAGGTTCCTGAAATGACCATTGATAGATGTTTATAGTAGTTTTATATGGTACAGTGGTGGTTTGTAGTATATCATGGCTTAAATTGAGTGGTTTGTAACAACAAGATAAGGGGATATCAGGGGAATCAAAACCGTCAAAACGATCGGATCAAACAAGCCACAATAGGGATATAATAATGGGATATGTCATCCAAAAATCGGGTGTACCCCTATGGTGTGGGGAAAATGATGATCAACTTGTGGGGCTTCCTCCAATTTTCCATACAGACCACTATCCAGTCGGATGAGTTTCCCCCCTAATATTGAAGTACCCTCTGGTAAGCATACCAAAAAATATGGAAAATCACATTTTTTAAGAGGTAAACCATCTATAAATGGGCCATTTTCCATAGCTATGTTAAATTACCAGAGGGTAGCTAATACAATGTTACAATGATATCATGTAGATATATACTTGAACCACGCGGCAAAATAAAGCCATACAGAGACATCAACCGATGAAACTTGCTTGACACACTGGTATGATCAATAACCAAGATGGGCAGTCAACCACCACCGATAGGGGCGCAACTAACGAATGAGAATTGATGTAAATACCAGGTACAAAATGGATTCAGTATATATGGTGTGCATATCTGTATATATATATACATATGTATATGTACTTATATATATACATACGTATATGTATATGTCAGAATTTAGTACTCTCAAACCCTATGGTTTATGATCACGTTCACATTAACATTGTTATCTTTGCATTTTGGGGAATCCCTCAGTTTGACACAAACCCACATGAATTGGTTTGGGACATCCAGAATGATCTCTGGCCGTTGTATGAAATGTAACGAGCTGGAAACATCTGGAAACTATATTTGGAGCCAGCAAGGCCTTTTTTGAGATACTCTCCGGCAATCAAACATGGCTGGCTGGGAACCTTTATCAAAGGAAGTTGCGTTACCAAACTTCCGAGTTGCGGACAAATGTCGATGGTTAGGCTGGTCATCATAGAGGTAGCAACAGCAGTTCGCAGGTGAAAAGTGTATCAATCCCATGTTCGGGTGAACATCCCATTTTTGATGATTATTCCGCACAGAGTTCCCTTTTTTATGTGTTTTTATATGGGATATTAGTGTTCCAAACATGTGGGATACAAAAAAAAATCATATGTGGGATAATATTTTGATGATTATATGGAACATGTTTGGTTAACATCTGTTATTCCCCATTTATTTCTATGTGGTTTTAATGTTTTTGGTTAACCAAACATGTTCCCCTTTTCTCCAAGATCCACGGATCAGGGACGCGTGGAGGAAGCCAAAGCAACGCTGCATACCTTGAGGGGAGATAGCTATGCGGAAGAAAAGATCGTGGAGGTGCTGTGGGCTTGTCAAAAAACGCTGGGGTACCTGGCTCCAAATTTTACATGTGGTACCTGACAGAAAATCATAAGTGTGTATGACATTTCTATTGGAAGTTGGTCATTTATAGAAATTAAAAACTTAACAGTTGGGTGTATGTAATTTTTAAAGTATCAAAATGTGTTTATAGTGTACAAATTCAATCATTACCTATTTTGAGAATATGGGGAAAGGTGGTGAATATGGTAAAACTCCAACATTCATAGTTTGTGGTTTTGGAAGCATCGCCATTTTCAGATACACGCATATCCAGTTTTCAAGCACGACAAGCAGGCGAACATCCACATAAAACACCTAATAGATATATCATATATAAATATATCATTTGTACATATATCATAGAATTATATCTATATATATAATATATCATAGATATAAATCTAGGAAAATATGGACATGTGTAGATGATTTACCTGAGTTTTTCCTGTTAAAAATGATGGTAACCACAGGGTCACCATGAAACCTCCTTCAAATTGTTTCGTGCTGCTAGAGCAAATGGTCGTTCGCCCGCGAAAAAAACGTTTTCGGAAAGACTATGGTAGTTAGATACTAGGATGAAACAACAGACACATGAGGTGTGGACATGATAAATGAAATGATGGGGAAATCACTCGGCCACATGGCCTTCCAACCTGAATTTCGCCCATTTTTTCGCTGACAACCGGCAGGAACTGAACGAAATCGTGGAAGAGTACAAGTTACCTGGCAAGGAATTTGGAGGCTGACTGGAAACAGAAGAACCCATGCCCCCATGTCCAGCCCATTTTTGGTGGCCCATGTTTGAGATTTTGAAGTGGGTACCATCTGGTTATGACTAACAGTTCGCCATGGTATAGATGGCCCATAGAAATCGATGGTTTACCTATTAATAGCATGGTGATTTTCCATGGCGAACTGTTAAATAACCAGATGGTAACCCATGTTAACCCAACAAAAAAGTTGTCTCCACCCGTTCTCGTTGACCAAGTTACTAAACATCAACCCACCTCGTGTGCTTTTGGGCTGGCCTCCATCTTGCAGGATTTGAAATGAATGAGAAACTCAGCATTTTACTGTCGGATCCAATAATCATTGTCATAGTCTATATAATTATATATATATAATAATTATATATATATCATATTATATATACTTATTCATTTCAGAAAAAAAAAAACATGTTCACCAACAGAGTTGAAGTCTGGCCGGGCTGCCGGCGATCTAGTCAGAAAAAGGGCCCCGGATTTTAACCTAAACCCATTGCTTTGTCGTGTAACGAGAGGATATGACAGATAATATGCATAATATTATAATATAATATAATATAATATAATTAAATATAATATAATATAATATAATTATAATATAATATAATATAATTATAATATAATATAATATAATAATATATATATATCGTATGTTAACAACAAAAAATAAAGGATTATCAACAACCTTGATGGTTTATGTTCACTATATTTTTCTCATAAAACATGGATCGACCATTTGTGTCACCCTTCGGATTCGACGAGGGTGATCTTTAGTGACACGGCTCAGGTTGGAATGCAACAATGCCACAGGTTCTTGGAAGGAGGCCCAGTGATCACAGGGCTCACAAGCTGGAGTTGCCTTTTTCAAAGGTGATGATTGTGGGAATCATTCACCAAATAGCCCAACAGTTCACAGCTAAATATAGGTGAATTATATAGAATTATTCAAGAAAAAAACACCTAGATTTGATTGAGAACACGAACTATGGGCAAAACCGGAGGAATTTACACGATCCATTACCAGATGCACGGAGGTTCCATCCGACTTTGACAGTGCAGCAAGCATAATTGATGTGACACCCGATTGTGCTAGGTCTCATATATTATTTGTTTGACAATTCAAACTGTGTTGGGAGTTCACATGCTAACGTGATTGGACTGTGTTGATCGATTTGTGTGTTTTCCTCTGCGATTGACCGTTCACAGGCCTGATTCTGGATCCCTGATAGATTACACATGATTACACATAGCCCGAGTGCTGTATCAATGGGAATTCCAGGATCCTAAATTGGAGGTACCTACCATATATAAGGCCTAAATTTCAGGGCTAAATTTCAAGAAATATCCCCACAATTCATATGGCCCAACATATGGGATCCTGACCAAGAGTTCGAAAGTTTGCCAAGGGCCAAATTCTCGAGTCAAGGGCCGCCCAGGATTCGTAACGTACGGTTCATTTTCGAAGTACCACCACATTGAGGGCGCTTCGATAGTTTAATGATGTTTAATGTGATTCCCAAAGGACTGTATAATGATGCCAACGCTTTGCATAAATTAGGAGAGCTATCTTGCAGATTTCCTAGCTGTTTCAGCCTGGTGGCCGTACAAGGCATCATGTTTGCACAAACGGGTGTTGGAGTTCGGAAAAACGCCAAACGGAAGCAAGGCGGCAAGAGCCCTTGTCCCAAAAAAAAGAAATCCAAACGGAAGCCGAATACAGGACATTTGACACTTGAGATATACTTATTTCTGGCACTTTTAGGCAAGGCTCTGCCGATTTGAGGCGATTGGAATTTCGGGGTTGATGCCAGCGACATGGTGTGCGCACGCCCAGCTTGCCTTTTCAGTTGGTTTCATAGAGCAGTGCAAGCAGCTTTTGGTCGCCGTCTCAAGAAAGGTACCACTTGCAGAAAGGACGGCAAAGCTTTGAAGAACTCTTTGGGTGGAGATTTCAGGACAACATGAACCAGGTCACTGCCTTCTGGAAAAAGCATGCAGTATGTACGAAAGTTAATACAGTGAAGTACTTGGAGCTTTTCTTGATGTGTCTCAAGTCAAGGGCCTTTGAAGTGCAAGGTGACACAAAGAACAAGCTGCAATAAGTCCTCCCCGACTCTGTTTGTTGATTTATAAAGCCACCTATAGCCTATATCCACCATAAACCCAGTAATTGGTTTGTACGCCAAGTTAACTAGTTAACTATCATATCACAAAAAAAGAACAATGCACATGTTTTTGATTAAACCCTGGTTGTTGATGGTTGGAGCGAGCGCTTCCTTATGAAAAACGACCTGAACGATTTGGTGGAATCACCACCATAAATCCCACTTTCCTTGAAGTAGCCCTCAAAACGATAGAAATTCGCGGGATATCGCAGGATGATAGTTTGATGACATGTTGTCACCATAAGTTCCAGCGTTTCAAGGTATTTTCATGTATTTTCACCATCGTTGAGGGTTGCTATGGTTATTTCCCAATGGAGGATCATTTCACTGAGTAACTGGTGACCGTAAGCTTGGTGATCTTAAGTCCCCATGAAAAATAGCTGATCCAATATGCTCATTTGCTAAATTGCTAAATATGATCTATAAATGCCTTCCTAAATTACACTATCCCAAAAATGTCCATTGTGCTGGAGTATTTACCTACATTTACACCATTTTTATGAGCCAGATGTAGGTAAATATACTATACATGGAGCATATGGGTATGGTGAAATAAACCACTTACGATTCGTGGACAGTCCCATAGTTAGTTCACGCATTTATAGATCAGATAACCAATAGTATACCACTAGTGGTCATTAACTTGGATATGCAGTTCTCCCTTCCATAAACTTGATATTCACTGTTTCATCCACCATTATCAACCACTATATCACCATCCACAAACTACCATCGTTATATTCCACAATCTATAAATGTTTCATCCACCATTATTAACCACTATATATATATCATTATTCACAAACTACCACAGTATACCATATTTATATTCCATAAACATTCCATAAACCATAAACCATCTAAATCACTATTTTTGAATATTCAGATTTAGTGATTTACCACTACAATGTGAGGCCCCCCAGTGATGTGAACGTTGGTTAACAGATTCGCCCCAGCAACTAGTTGGTTATTTGCGTACCATGTTTACCATAGTGAAATTGGAGTTATGTGAACCCCGACTATTAGCTATCGAACGGGGGCCTCACATTGTAACATTGTTACTGTAATTGGATAATAGTTAGTGATAATTTACCCATCCAGATATGGTTATAATATATTACTAACCACATTGTAACCATGGATATATGGATATATTAATAACCATGATATTCATCTATTATATCAATGACCATGAAATATCAATATACCATATATTAACCATTAATAAACCCTATTAACCATTACTAACCAATGATTCACCACGACTTTTTTCACATCGCTGCGATTCAAATCCAAAACGATCATCCGCCAGGTCTTCACTGGTCGAGTCTTTACGCTCGTCTGCATCGGTGCGTGGCTGCAAATGCTGCAGCAACTCGTGGGGATGTGCCTTGACAGCTCGTCGGAGAAAAACAAAGCGATGCTTCAGCAGTGCTTAGTGGTGGTTAATAGATGGTTATAATGGATAAATGCTAATAGATGGTTAATAAGATTCGTGGATATGAATGGTTAATGGGATTCATCCGAAATGGTAATGACGTTTACAGTTTGCGCACTGCAAAATGGCCCAGTCGAAAGTTCGTGGATTTAGCCATTAAAAAATGGTGGATTTGGCCCATCGTTATGTCAACGTTTACCAGGCCGGGTAAGGGACTTGGGAGTTATAGGACTTTGAGAATGAAGCTAATATCTATAGGCTTGTGGTGTTTTTACTATGAAAGATATGGAACATGATGGAAATATGATTGAGAAGTGAGGGGCTGATTCTTGACGCTGGGATTTTGGGCATTTTGGACTTAGCCATCGGAATGCAGTTCTCAGGATCTGGTGGAATGGGGTACCATGGGGTACCAGCTGACCCACAGGGGAACAATCCTCTAGAGCTGAGAATTCTGCATCTAAACCATGAAAGATCCTGAAAAACCCATCGAAAAGCCCTAGTGCCACCGTCCCTCCAATGTTTTGTAAAGTTTTTCGCACCTGGGATGCAGGAGTTCCATGGAGTTCCTCGGCTCAGCTCAGGAATGCCTTCATGTATTTTGGCCCCCGCGTCTTCAAAAACCTTGGATTCGATGCCAACCTTTTCCAGACGCCCCTCAGATGCAGCACCAGCCATGGTAGGTCCAAGTTTGGACCTACCATCTGGTTATTACGGTTATGACTAACTAACAGTTTGCCAGGGACAATTACCATGCTATGAAGAACGGTAAACCATCTATTTCGATTAGGGCCATGGCTTCCATGGCGAACTGTTAGTCATAACCAGAGGGTAATACTTCAGGAAACAATGTCAAGCGGACGGGTGAACAGTAGTCCAGCAGTCAAGTGGCGGCAGCTTCAGATTTGTATGCATTCGAACAATTTGTTGCTCCTACAATGTGGACGACAAATATTCTTCAGTAGTACTGTTGGTCGGCAACTCACTTTTGAACTATTGGTTGCAAGTGGACTAAACCGCGACATGTTCTTTGCTGCGCACAATCGATTTGGAATTGCGAAAAGTTGTTATCAGACACTTCTGGACAATGATTCCAACATGAAAAATTGGTCCTCACCTGGCAAGCATCGTTATTTCAAGTCCGTACAGAAACCACGCGCCAAAAAAGCCCCTCAAAATGAGACCTACAATGTGCCCCCCCCCAGTTATAAGTTGGTTTAGATTCGCCCCAGTAACTATAGTTATAAGTACCATAAACCATAGTGAAATTGGAGTTATGTTCACCAACTTAGCTATCGAACGGGGGCCTCACATTGTAACATAAAAACACATGAAATTTGAGGAGCTTCACCATGCTTTTGGCTAGCCCTAACCATGGCTCCAATGAAGTATCCATAGATGGCTCAGAATTTTTGTGGTACCTGGCGGTCGACCCAGTTTTGACTCATAACCACTCAATGAAATTCGAATCTATTCCATGACTGAAGGGATACTTGGATAAGAGCCGAACGAGTGGTGAATATCAACGAAGATGCCATCCATGGTGATTTGCCATCCATCAAATTCGAGTTTCCTGAATAATATCAACGATGTCCAAACGATGTCCATTTGATAAAAAGCCTCAGAAAGAACTGGAGATAATTGACAACCTTTGCTCTGCAAGGCTGGCAAATGCTGTGAACATGGTCTTCACCCTCCCGGCGCTCTACTTCATCGAGTGTCCTGGCTGGATTCAGCCACATGCCATACAGATCTATAGAAGTTTTTCTTTGGAATCAGATGAGATTTGAATGGACATAAACCAACCAATCTGACATGTAAATCCATGTAAATGATTTTTGGTTGGTGGAATCAGATGATTTTTACATGGATTTATCATGTTTTACCAAAGATTAAGGCTAAAGCTTGTAGGATTGTAGGGGGAGAAACCACCATGAGACATGCCGTTCTCTCAATCGGGGCGATTGCCTGTGCGAAAGAGAGATTTGCTGATAACCTAAATTGATGGCATGCCATCGATGCCATAGTGGATTCACTGTATCTGGGTAAATTTCATCACGACCTCACGTCGCGACCGAACCCTGGAATAATGGTTAGTATTGGAAATCATCCCCAAATGGCCGAACTATTCAGGTTAGTGAAATATTATAATTTACCCAGACTGTATTCTAGAGGCCAGTCTCTTTATTCACATATTTTTTGTTATAGTCACACGTGTGTTGTAAAAAGCATTTCGCTCTGGCCAAGGGGTCACGAGCCGTGTTTTCCAGCATCACCTTTCAATTCTAGGTGTTGCTGCCAGCTAGGTTCACCTGGTTTCTATGAGTTTGTTTCTCCTGCGTTAAAAAAAAAACATTGTGAGATATGTAGAAAAAACACGGTACCTCAGTTGATTTTGCTTTAAACAAATGTCTACTTTCCATCCTGCTTGGAATGATGGATATGGATGATGATGATGATGATGAGGATGATGATGATGATGAGGAGAATGGTCATGGTTTCAAACGAAGCTGTGCGAGCCAGGTATACGGGGCGGCGCAGCCTCTTCGTCTTTGGAGCCCTCGGGATGTCCATTTCCACCATCACCCTGGGTCTGCTGGGGATCTATGGCACGGTGGGTTCAGGCCGCGATGAACAGTGGAGGAAGTGGGCAAATTCCATGAGTGTAGGGAATGGTGGTTAATAGTGGCTAATGGTTACTAATGGTTACTGGATATTCATGGTTAATATATGGTTCATCTATGGTTATCAATGGCAACCATCCTATTAGTACAATATGGATGTGCAGGGATGTGTAGGGTGTATGAAGTGGGGGAAATTGTGGGTGTCCAATGTGAAATTGGCATTATGACAAGTATCCGCTTTTCAGCCAAAATCTGCATTGAAAGAGGAATTGGGGGTGTCCAATGTGCAGACACCAAAAGATATTGATTATCACACCATGCCATATGTGTACGCTTGTGTTTCACCTGCACTCCCAAACGCATCAAAATGTCTCGTATTCCGGTGGGGCCTTCATTGTTATGGGGTTCAAACCCCATGCATGTTGTAGCTCATTCCCCATTCCGGTGAAACAGCATATATCGACCCTACGTCCACACACCATTCGTTTGCGTTACCATCTGGTTATTTAACATAGCCATGGAAAATCACCATGCTATTAAACGGCAAACCATCTATTTCGATTAGGGCCATCTATACCATGGCGAACTGTTAGTCATAACCAGGTTGGGTATAATAATTGGATATAAATTTTAAATGATGTTGATGATATATACCATAATATACCATAATAATTGAATGTTATTGATATATACCATAGTATATTGGTTAATTGATGATATATACCATAGTATGTCAGTCATGCCCCGTGTTTGTTGCTGATACCGTCGAGTCCTGGACGAGAGTCCCATCACTGTGTTCGAGTTCTTCCCACAGGTTATGATATCCATCATCAGCTGGTTGGTGGTGACTGGAGCATGGTTTTTACAGTTATGGCCATTTATCAGTTATAAGTACTTATAACCCCATTTATAGAATGTATAATCCCATTTATAACCAGTTATAACTGGTAAATGGCCATAACTGTATGACTTTCCATATACCCGGCCTGGTAAACGTTTACATAGCCATGGAAAATCACCATGTTTCATAGGTAAATCAACTATCCCATTGATATCTGGTCGGTGGTTTGGAACATGATTTTGATGACTTTCCATATATTGGGAACTTCATCATCCCAACTGACGAACTCATATTTTTCAGGGGGGTAGGTCAACCATCAACCAGTCAGAAAATATGTCCGATTAATGTACCAACTGGCAAGCCAACAACTGTGCATGTAGGAAACGTCCCCCTTGTGAGGATGATTTCCCGCAACCGGGGACGCTCCATTACCAGTTTGAAGTGCCCCTAATGGGGACATGGGGATGGGTTTTTCAACTTGATTTGCAGCAACCCCCCAAACAGACAGACACGTAATTTATGTTTTTTTAAAGGTTATTCTTCTCTCTTTTCGGGGGTTTGCTATACCATATTTGGAATAAACATTGATAAGCAACACTAATATTCTAATGTGAAAGCCATTGAAAAACAGGGGATTCCATGGGTAAAGTGACCCAAAGCTGAGGGTTTCCAATGGTTTCCAAATAACTTGGGGTATCAGTTCTCATCAATTTTCAGATTTTGAAATAAACCATCCGAGGAATTCCCCATGACTATGGAAAGCCAGCAGGGAAGCACCTTTTTTCGTCGTCACATCCATCAGGTTTCGGAGACATTCTGAAGCCGAAGAGTCCATGGATCGGGGATGTGATGGCCTGCATGGTGCTCGGCCGTAGTTTGAAAAATCCCACGAGTGGTGAGTGGTGAATAACCATCATGAACCTATCAAAGAAAAACAACACATATAGTGTATGCATATTATATATATATGCATATTATATATATATGTTACAGTTATATATATATATATGTTACAGTTATATATATATATATTATAATGTCATATATAATCATATATATATATATTATAATGTTATGTGTATATATATAATATTCCTTGGGTGCAGGTCTTGGTATGATGTAGACACTGTCGGCTGTTTCGATACATCCGGAGTGACATCGATGTGAAGGTTCCATGGGTCCCTAAGCGTCCAAATCATTGTTAATGGTGGTTAATAGTGGTTAATGGATATTAAATCCTAATAGATGGTTAATGGTTAATGGATATGAATGGTTAATGGGATTCATCCGAAATGGTAATGACTAACAGTTTGCGAACTGGAAAATGGCCATAGAAATAATGGTGATTTGGCCCATAGTGATGTCAACGTTTACCAGGCCGGGTACGGTACCCGAGTCCCTGAGTCCCTCATTTTTTTTGGCTTACTAACTAATCATAACTCATGAACTAACCATTGCAAACCACCCCTTTCGTTCATGGTCACTTTGAGTGTCTGAAAGAAGTTGGCGATCGGCATGTTCAGCATGTTCCATTGCCGAAAGGTGATTTTACTTGGTGAAGCTCCAGGCCTGCTATAGCAACCAAGAAATTTATTAAAGCACGGAGATGACACTACTAAAACATCTAAAAACCATGGCTCTCTTGGATGTTGATTTTAGGAAGCTCCCATTTGTTCAACATTCTAAAAGAAGATCTTTGATTACCATTGATTACTGTAGTTCTTTCCCCTTCACTTCAACTTTTCAGCAGTGGTGCTGCAGGCTGCAGCTGAGGTGCTGACTTTCATCGCGTGCTTCGCATCGACCTGGGGCCCAACTGTCTGGGTCTACTGCGCCGTGGCAGCCGTGGCCGACCGGTCAGACGTTGTGCAAAAACCAACGACGGGAAGTGAACTGAGAAAAAAAACATACTTGTGCTTAGTGGGGAATTTTCGGGAATGATCCACAATAACTATCAAAAATTAATCCCATTCGCCCATTCCCATCCATTTGTTTAGTTTAGCACCAGTATGAAAAAGATAAATACGAAATTATCGACAACCCGCGGAGTTAACTGAAGAAACTAATGTTATTAAATGTTATTAACCAATGTTATTAACCAAACTGATTATTGTCAGTTAACTGCCAACCATTATGCAACTAATAATTTTGACTTGGAACATGTGAGACTTCGCTAATAAGAAACCTGCCAGAAAGGGGATTATTCATCCCATTTCTGGTGACTTGGGGGTGGTTTGGCCGCGGGCGTAGTGTAGTGATGTGCCAGGCTGTGCCAAAGTTACTGATGTGTAAAAGGCCACGGATTCCCATATGAATTATGGGTCTGGGTCACGATCATCTTCAACATTTCACTAAGATAATTGACTAAGAATTATGGGTCTGGGTTGTCACTAAGATACTTGACTAAGAAATATTGAATTATCATGAATTATCATTATTTCACTAAGATACTTGAATAATGTGTATGACCATCATTTCTGGCTTGTCTCTCCAAATTTTCAGAATGTTGCAATAAATAAATTAATCTATCAAGCTGTGGGTCAGCCGGTTACTGCTAAGCTTATCATAAGAAATCAAAGGTTTTTTGACATTGTCCTCAACTTCATTGGAAAGCTAGCTCTGGCTATGGTTTTTTTTGAATATCCCTGTGAATTTCAATCATCCCATGTGTATCCATTTCTTGGAATCGACATTAAAAGATCTTATTGCGAAAACATCTATCAAATACTATATATAGCAAATTATAGCAATATATAATTATATATGTGTAGAAATTCCAAATTTGACAAATACAGAATAGTTGAAGTTGTTATAGATTTATAGGCAGTGAAGCAAATCCAAAGCATCGACATGAATCAAAACAGCAAATTTATGACAAAATACCGATTATAAGCCAGCAATTGCTCTGCAAATTTCCAATCAACCTGTCACGGTAATCCCAAACAACCTTAAAATTATTCATACAATGTGAGGCCCCCAAGATAGCAAAGTTGGTTTATTACTCCAATAACTATGGTTTATGGTACTTATAACTATAGTTACTGGGGCTTATAAACCAACTTATAACTGGGGGGCCTCACATCGTAGTTAGTACAACGCCCTTGATAATCCTTAACAACCATCATGTCTGGGTCACATTTGCAAGCTGGTGATCTCCCAATGTGTTTGTTTGGGGGCTTCACTTTCCGCAGGGTTTTGCAGGTGAAATCCTCATATATATATATATATGTATGTATGGTTGGTGGTTTGGAACATTTTTTCCATACATTGGGAATTTTAGAACCCCAACTGACTTTAACTCCATGATTTTTCAGAGGGGTAGGTCAACCACCAACCAGCTATAGTTATATCATGTTATACCCACCATAAACCATAGAATTCAGCCATATTCAGAGGGCTAGGTTAACCACCAACCAGATATACATGGATGAATTATCATTACCTGTGACGTCGCTGCAATGCTTAGGATTTTCTCTTTGACCATCCCGAAAGGACCGAACTTTTCAGGTCAATGAATGATATATTAGAATATTAGTAAAGCAATAAACCATCCCCAATGGTAAGCCATAAATATCAATTTTTATGGTTTGTATCAACTATAAACGACTGAGAACATGGCTAGTTGATTGTTGCTTGACATTACCTTCTGGTAATCAAGCATGGCAATGGGAAATCTCTATGGAGGTTTTAATGGGAACAATCAACTACGGGTGATTTTTCAATTGCCACGTCTCATTAGCGGAGGGTACATCCAAAAACATCTCTCCCATTGGTGATAAACCATTTTTGTGGTGTCTATAAACTATAAACCATCCAGAACATGGAGGGTACATCCCAAAACATCTCTCCCTACATTGGTGATACTGTGGATGGTTAAGAAATCCTGCACCACCGTAGGGATGGTTGAAACATGTTGAAACCCTATAAGTAATGGGATGTTTACCATCCATCAACTGGTGATTCGGATTTCGCTGGCCCATCCACAGTATCTCCATGTATCTCCCCCATCTTGGTGCTCAAAGCACTTGGCGTGCTGAAAAAGACGTGCCATGGAAAGGTGCTGAGATCTTCCCGTTGCGGCACCGCGCACGTTGTGTGGGCGTGAGCACTATGTGCCATGGAAATCGGAAATGGAGGGATTGGAAGCAGCAAAAATTAGGGGATGAAATCGGATGAAATCGGATGAAACCAAGAAAAAGGACATAAAAGGACTATTTAACATGATTTAATCATCAAACTTGACATTTAATCTCAATTACAACAACCAGGAACAAATGAGATTTAAATTGGAATTGAATGAACATGTTTTAGCCACATTTTTCTTTATGGATGTACCTGTTGCATCTCATTTTTGAACTCAAATCATCACTGGCTAGTGCTTAAATAGCCCAAATGGTGACGTTTTTTCGAGAAAGCGGAAGAAACCATGTTTTGGGTTCAATACGTCTATCCACGTCCGAAACTGAAACATTGTGGTATTGGGAAATAGTAGCCGATATTAAAATTGCAGTCCACCAAACAAACACAGGGATGGTAGCATGAACATGGGTTTCCTGTAAACTTGAGGCCCATGAACATGGGGCCTATCAGCAAACATCCCGCCATCAATAGCAATTCTTGGGGCGCAACTTAGCAAGTTCTGGATTGTGAACCCGTCAGTTTTGGGACCTGCATCCATTGACCATCATAAATCAGACGGAAACCAATGGTAACCATGTCCAGAAGGAAAGAAGGTACACGTTTTGCTGCTATACATACGTGAGATCTCATGAATGGCTCATGGTGTATACTATATTTTGCTATGGTTGTTGGCTGGTGGGACCGATGAACTCTCCCCGCACAAGGATCCTGCAAATCTTTTACAACAGGCGCCCTGCTTCTTCTGTTCCTACAAAAAGATCAAAGATAAATATAATAGAAAACCCCCAAACAGATAGAAAAGTATGTGGTCACTATATGATTTTAAATCATGATTTTACCATATTTGACCTTTCGATCTTTTTGCTGGTCACTAGCTTAGTATCCCTATGGATCCAAACACTGTCTCAGAAGGTACTTAACCCCCTAAATCATACCCCAAACACTTCCTAGGAAGGTACTTGGATCCATAGGGTATATCAATGAACATGTTATTTCGACATTTTGAGGGACCTACGATCCATGGCAAAGATTCTGAAGGACCAACTGGATTGGGAACTTCCTCATTGCGCAGTTCACTCCCGTGCTCCTGAAGCTTGGTTTTTGAAAAAACGTTTCGTTGGGTGAAAGATATGGTTTTGATATGTTTTGATCAGCTGGGAAGCAACCCTTAAGCTGAGCTGGAAACATGCTTGAATTCCTGATCATCCAAAGGCTTTCCAGATCGCGAATCCTCGTTTTTGGTTTGGTGAAAATGTAAGGAAACATGGGGAAACTAAGTTGCCATTAGTGGTGACACTTTCAAATGATCAACGGGTTGTTTGAAATTCGTTGGAGCAGTTGAAAAAAACACCTGGTAGGACATTTCTGAGGTTTGGCTTGCAAGCCCCGGATTGGGTCATGCGTTTAACCACCGAACCATGGAACATGGAGATACTTTCGGAAAGGATATTTTATTCCATGATATTCCATCCCTATGGATCCAAGTACCTTCCTAGGAAGTGTTTGGGGTATGATTTAGGGACATTGAATCGTGGCATATGTTGATCATTTTCATCGGTCAGGGGTCTCATCATTGAAATTCCCATGAAATCCCCATGAATCCTGTGAAATACCCATGAAAGCACCATCGTTTTTCTACGGGTCATCTTAACATGGGGCGACTACCGGGATCTTTTTCAGGAACTTCGCTGGCGAAGTTCCTTAAATCATCCAGGATGCATCCAAGATCAACCAAACATATGTGGAGATATGAGTTCAATATCCCAAGAACTGAATCATGGGATATAGTTTCGTTGAACTATGGGATATGTGGGATATAGATCCACCCAAGATAACTATATTGAACTATTTCAATATCCCAATAACCATGATTTTTGGTGGATGAGTTCAATATCCCAATAAAAAAACATGGAAATATTAAAAAAAACAACAACAATGAATTATATTGAATTCTATTGAATAGTATCATGGAGATATTGATAATTCTATTGATAGTATAATTCTATGAGTTCAATATCCCAATATCCCCATGAATTAGATTGAATGAACCCCCCATCTCACCAGAGATCTCACCACAGAAAGATCTGCATCTTTTCTAACTCAAAACCATCGAGGTCCTCCATCGGTTTCGGCACCTTCCTACTCTTCGGCATTTTTTGTCTGAACGCCCTGGTTTTGGGCTGGTGGTTACCAGAGACCAGCGGTGTGCCCTTGGAGCAGGCGTCTTTCTATGATTCGATATTTTTCAGGGCCTTGTGGAGAAAAATCATGAGTTCTCCTTGAGTCCAACAGTTGTGGCCATTTATCAGTTATAAGTACTTATAACATCTTATAACCCCATTTATAGAATTTATAATCCCATTTGTAACCAGTTATAACTGGTAAATGGCCATAACTGAATGGTCTTTAGTAAAAAAACATAAAAAACAAACACACGTTTTCTTTTGGACATCCAGCATCGCCAAGCTTCGGTAAATTGTCGGAAGCTGTCTCCACCCATTAAAAATATGACGACTCGATGTTTTGTTCAGAGGCGCCCGAAATCCCTGAGCAACCTAGCCTTACACTAAATGACGTGTTCCTCATTAAATTACCTGGACTCTGAGCAAAGTGAGCTTGGAAACTGACGCTGAATCTTAATCAATTTTTGTGATTTGTGCTTTTTACACAGCCTCATCCATTTTTACCCCTGATTAACCATGATTGCCCAACAAATTCAAAAGTATCAGATTGTTGGTGAATAGTGGATTGACGAAGGCTATCATCACTCGCCTTGTCAGTATGGCAATATATCCTCTGCCCATTGAATATTACCACCTTATTTATAGGATTCACAGTAACTAACCATCATTCACTATTAATACATGGCTAATACCAATCATGATTCATGATTAACCATGATTCGCCCAATAAATTATCATGAATTTATCATGAATACTTGGGATATGATGATATGACTATGTCCATCCAAGATTCACCATCATCAAACATCATCAACCATGTTCAACCGTGATTTGATTCACCCATAATGTCAACCCCCGATCAATATACCATGGTTTGTTCATTGGTACCCTCCAAATAGTGATAATATGATACTCAATTGGTATCCGATGTATCCGCCCCCCAATTTCACAGCCTACAATGTGAGGCCCCCAAGATAGCTAAGTTGGTGAACATAACTCCAATAACTATGGTTTTCCAACTTACAAACATCACTGGGGGGCCTCACCTTGTAGGGATTTATGAATCCATGTTGCACCATTCATATGGCTATCTGGTTGGTGGTTTCAAACATTTGGATTATTTTCCATTTCATATATGGAATGTCATCCTTCCCATTGACGAACTCATATTTTTCAGAGGGGTAGGTATACCACCAACCAGCTATATTATGCTATATGAAAAAAATGGATCAACCATGATTCACCATCATCAACCGTTCGGGCCAGACTCGGACCATTCGTGATTTATCCATAAACGATCGCAATCAATGGCCATGACGAACTGGAACCGATAAAAATTGGAGGTACCGATTCCATATGTAAGGCCTATTTTTTAGGCCTATTTTTTAGGCCTATGTAAGGGAATATACCCCCAAAATATGGCCTAACAAATGGTACTAACGTACCTCCATTTTAGGATCCTGGAATTCCCATTGATGTAATGAGAAAATTATATAGCCACTAATTTATCAGTGATACGGTTACGTGATGATTGATATGATTCTATCAGTCATTATGCTGGTAGTCACAATTATACAAAGGAAGTTGAGGAGTACGAAAGTACGGTTAAATACCGTACCTCTGGTTCCATAATTCCCGATTCCGCAGAAAACTGGGTGAAAAAAAATTACCCATATGATTCTTGTTGTTCTACAATTCTTGTTGGGCTCTGGTTGTGTTCCATTTTTGCGGTTTCCCCCATATATCTCACCTTTACCACTTCTTCTCTATAATTGTGTGTTCTGTAATTGCGTGTTCTATGTTTAAATGTATTATAATTCTGTGTTATATTTGTTGGGGCCCCAGCAAGATAAGATGATGTAAATATATGTATGTATCCTTCAAGACTCAATCTGTAGTCAGTACCAGAATTATAGAACGGCCAAATTAATTATAGAACAGACATCCGAATCCGCGCGGAATCGCGTCAAGGTCCTCCTAATTCTGTTCTATAATTGTGGCTACCACTGTAATCTAGTGGAATGTTTTCATATTATATCCCAATCGGACATACCTCAGAAACATGGCATAAATATGGATGATATATGGTGAAAAATCTCAAAAACATTGTTGATTTATAGGGGTAATGTCCCTTTGGGGTATCTGGACATAACCCATTCTAATCTTATCTAATCGTATAAGTCACTTTCTATGAGTCACTAATCTTATTGATAATATCTTATCAGTCACTATCTTAAAAGATGATACCCTCTGGTAAACATATACAAAAACTATGGAAAACCACTATGTTATAGCTGAGTAAGTTTCAACTATTTCTATGGCAACTTTCAATAGCAAACTGTTAGTTTACCAGATGGACACTTATCTTCCATTATAAGTTGGTTTATAAAGCCCATTAACATCTATTAACTATAGTTACTGTATATTATGTTAGATCATGTTATATCTACCTACCATAAACCATAGTCACTACTTACAATCAGACCACCAATCATTCGACACGTCTTCCATGCCTCAGATGGGACTTCTCTTCGACCGTCGCTTGGGCACTGATGATGCGGACGTGGTGAACCTCCGCCCGGAGAAGGACAATGTTGCGAGTTATGGGTCCACCAAGAGACTTGGCTGGGCAAGGACACCGCAACAACATCTGGTTGGTGGTTTGGAACATGATTTTTATGACTTTCCGTATAATATATTGGGAACAATAATCCCAACTGACGAACTCATATTTTTCAGAGGGGTTAAAACCACCAACCAGACATGGTATTTTCGAAAGGGGTACCCTCTGGCTATTTCACAGTTTGCTATGGAAAATGGTCCATTGATAGAGGATAAACATCCCGGCGGAAGCGTTACCGGCGTGCGAAAATGATCAAAATTACTACGTCTTCACAGCGAGGAGCCAGTTTTTGCATTCAAAACCTATCAAAAAAAAGGTCCGTCTACTTTGGGAATGACAACCCTTCCATCACTTCAGCCTCAAAAAGGGCAACCGCAACTTTTTCTCACATTGAAGATCATAGAGCGTAGCATCAAGTTCATGTGGAAATGCCAATGAAGATCATAGAGCGTAGCATCAAGTTCATGTGGAAATGCCAATGAAGATCATAGAGCGTAGCATCAAGTTCATGTGGAATCGGATGCGGATGTGTGGAATTGCAATTGAAGATCATAGAGCGTAGCATCAGGTTCATGTGGAAATGCCAATGAAGATCATAGAGCGTAGCATCAAGATCATGTGGAAATGCCAGTGAAGATCATAGAGCGTAGCATCAAGATCATGTGGAATTGCAATTGAAGATCATAGAGCGTAGCATCAGGTTCATGTGGAAATGCCAGTGAAGATCATAGAGCGTAGCATCAAGATCATGTGGAATTGCAATTGAAGATCATAGAGCGTAGCATCAGGTTCATGTGGAAATGCCAGTGAAGATCATAGAGCGTAGCATCAAGATCATGTGGAAATGCCAATGACGCTATTATCCCCCCCAACCCCACCCCAGGCTACCGGATGTGGATTTGTGCGACGGTAACGAGTCCGTTGGCATAAACATGATGATTTACCTCTCCAAAATGGTGATGTTCCAGTTTGCTACGTTAGTCATAACCAAACGGTAAACTTACGATACTCTGACCAGCAAACTCTGAGGCTTATTGAATGAAGATGTATGAATATGTCATTTTTTTCATTTGGTTTTGTATTTACCCGGTAAAGGAAAAAAACATATTTACTTAGACATAAACCCTAAACCCTGGGAAAGGAAGCTGGGAAATCTATGGAAATCTTGGTTTATGTTAGAGCCGGGTAAGAAAGCTGGGAAATGTCAAACATAGACAGAACTATGGATCCAGCCGTAGCTTCTTAGAAAGTGTATGGGGTATGATGACTAGGGGGTTAGCCGTACCTTCTCTACAAAAAAAATGAAATTTTAATGAATATGGAGGGATTAACTTAATACTCTCAATATGAATCCTGCATTTTCTTGCTAGTGGCTGCGTCCCCAAAACATGGGCAAAACGCGGTTCGAGGATATTCCGTGGTAAGATGAAGGCCTATAAACCTTTAATCTGTTGATTTATACAGTATATCCAATATTTATACATCCTATCTATTGATATATCTATCTATCTACCTACCTAATACTCATTATTTATGTAATATTTACCCACCTGTTTTTTTTTCCAACCTGCTGCAATCTATCAGTCTATCTTTCATACTGTACATGAATCATCTTGCATGGTATAGGACTACAGTTTTCTTGATGTTTCCACATCAGCTCCCTCCAAGGGCCGCCTGATGCCTCTCTGATCGTCTCAAGAGGTGGGCTTTTGACCAACTGGCAGCCGAAATGGCAAAACTACAGTCCCGTGAAGCTGGATACCTTCCATCCCATTTGAAGATCTTAGAGTCTTTGAGATACCTACTAAATGTGAGGCCCCCGTGATAGCGAGAACGTTCAGTTGGGGTGAACTAATAACTCCATTTTCACGAACTGGTAAACATGGTACGCAAATAACGATCTAGTTACTGGGGCGAATCTAAACCAACGTTCACATCCCTGGGGGGCCTCACATTGTACTAAATGGAATGTGCCTAATATGATACATATGTAATGTGAAAGTCAAAAAGTTCAAGCAACAGCAGCTTTTTGGGGATAGCTTGTGCAGAATCCCACTGATTGGGTCACCAATCCCCATAGAGTGGAAGTGTGGAAGTGCGGTTGACCAGACTGGACCAGACCAAATCTGTGATGTGCTTATGACTGTTGAATCAATGCCGGTCTTCCAGCGTATTTTTACGAGTTTCTTTTTGAAAAGAATGTTACGTTTCAAGATGCCAAATAGGTCCTCACTGCGGTATGGCAATTCTACCCAATGGAAATGGATAGCTGGATAGCTGGAATGGATAGCGGAATAGATTCCCAATGGAAATTGCTATCCATTTGCTGCCCGCTGGAAATGTGTTTCACTCTTGGGCAAGTCGTGCCGTTGCTAGCATCCCCACCCGTTCCCCAAAGCCGCCGACGCTTGGGGGTGCGTCCTACAAATTGATCTAGTTTTGTATATGGATATATGATATATTACATCAATAAAGATCACCAGTTATATAGATTTAATGGGTTATATAAACCACATTCCTGGGGCCCGCACATCCAAGCAGATAAATTTGATAAAAATTGTTTGGAGCCAGAAGCTCTAGCAGAGGAGGAGCATGCATCAGCTACTGTTTTGAAACCAAATGTGGTTCGAAGCCGTAAATAATATCACCACCAAACAATCCTAGAATTGGCAGGAGGGAGATGTTGCAGGAAAGCCTCATTTGGGTACAAAAACTCCTCTGGATTTTCCTTTCTATCTGTATTGAGGACAATAACCCCAAGTAATCAGCATTCATGGTAAATAACCCCCAAATCACTATACTGTAGATGTTGGTGAAATTTTCTTTGAATCAAACCATTGATCTAAGAAAAAATCAACAGACCTGTAGAGCACAGCCCTTGAGTTGTATGCTCCAGAGGTTTCATCAAATCATCTAGGACACTTGTTTCATTGCATGTAGACTTTACTGGCTACTGTTCCCATTAACCATCAACAACTCCTAAATGATTAACAATACCATGAATGGTTATTGAAGTTATGAATATTCATAGTTCACTGTTAATCACTAATCACCAACAATACCATGACAACTCCAGGATCCTAAATTGGAGGTACCTACCATATATAAGGCCTATTGTTCAGGCCTATGTAAGTGAATATCCCAGCAAAATATGGCCTAACAAATGGTACTAACGTACCTCCATTTTAGGATCCTGGAATTCCCATTGAGTTAATGGATGTGAAAAATATTGTGATACCCTAAGTATCCCAATACCATGACAACTTCTACCATGGAATAATCCCATTGTGCCACCGGTGAAGAACCACCCAACGCACTGCGACCGCCTCTCGCATGGTGCCGGAAAAAAACCGCGGCCGCGACACATTTTCCGGTCAGAAAGGGTCCGATGTGCGTCACAACTCCATTTAAGTTTCAATGTTGGTGTATGTATAAATGTAGATCAATGTACACATACCATTATGTATATTAGTTAATTATTAATATGGTGTATGTACAAATACATTACATAATACATTTAATTATTATGGTATATATCATCAATTAACCAATATATTATAGTGTATGTTGAAACTGGAAGAGCATGGTTTGATCTTGGCAATTATATTCTTCAAGATCAGTTGTCTGCGCGAACATATTTAGACTCTACATGGGTGTGTCTGGAAATGAGGTACCCTCTGGTAAACTAACATAACTATGGAAAGATCCACCATTTTTAATGGAAAAACTCACTATAAATGGGCCATGTTCAATAGCTATGTTAAATTACCAGAGGGTAATACTATGGTATATATATATATATATATCATCAATTAGCCAATATATTAGGGTATATATCAATAACATTCAATTATTATGGTATATTATGGTATATATCATCAACGTCATTTATATCCAATTATTATACCCTCTGGTAATGACTTACATAGCCATGGAAGCCATGGTCCATAGAAATAGATGGTTTAGCTATTAAAAATGGTGTTGTTCCATGGCTATGTTAAATAACCAGAGGGTAATTATTATGGTATATATCATTTATATCCAATAACATCAATTGCAATTAACTAATTCCTGTATTATAGTGTATATATCATCATTTATAATTCACTGGTTGGTGGTTTGGAACCATGGAATTTGATGACTTTCTATATATGGGGAATTTCATAATCCCAACTGACGAACTCCATCATTTTTCAGAAGGGTTCAAACCACCAACCAGATCATCATTTCTAATTCATGTATGATGTATATACACATACATAGATGCCTTACTGTCATCCATCCAACTGTAGATATGAGCGTAAGCCCATTGCTTGCCTGCAATGTGAGGCCCCCGTCAGATAGCTAAGTTGGTGAACATAACTCCAATAACTATGGTTTATGGTACGCAAATAACTATAGTTACTGGGGCGAATCTAAGCCAACGTTCACATCACTGGGGGGCCTCACATTGTAGTTGTGGCCGCCGACTTACATGTCTACGGAAGCTTTTGTAAAGACGACTGTCGTGGGATATTTGGAATCCAGCATTCTCGTCCGAATACCAGGTCAAACGTGGATAGATGATCTGTATGGATAGATGGAGGGTTCCTAAAGTGGGGATCATAATTGGTAGTAGATGATTAGTTCTAGAAATTCAAGTAGCTATGAAAATAGCTGGTAGCAAGTCCGCCATTCCCCAGCCATCCGAAGATGTGTGAGGTTCTGGGCCGCTCCGCAGGTGCACTGTCCCTGAACCATCTCAACGTCGCAGGGCCATGATGCTACACCAAGTGAGCATTCTGGGATTTCCAGCCGATGGTACGCCAAGTGTCATCGCTGTCATTATCAGAGGGTATAATAATTGGATATAAATGACGTTGATGTCAATAACATAATTGGTATATTCAATAACATATATGGTATTTTATTGTATATATACCAATGTTCCAATTATTGGATATATACCTTAGTAATATACCATAATAATTGAATGTTATTGATATATACCATAATATATTGGTTAATTGACGATTATATACCATATAATTACCCTCTGGTGATTTAACAGTTTGCGAACTGGAAAATGGCACATTTATAGTTGATTTACCTAGTAAAAATGGTGATTTTCCATAGCTATGTGAGTTTACCAGAGGGTAATATCTCATGTTTGATGCTTCGGTGTTTCATGTTCCAACATGTTCTATCACTACATTGGTGTTTGGAAACGACAATAGGTTCCAACCATGAAGCACTTGGCTGGTCTATGGCATGGGCAGAGATGTTTTTCATGAAAGGCAGATGTTTTTCATCAAAGCTTGATATATGTGGGATACAAAATGGGGTCCCACTCCATTTAGGAAACCCCATGATTTTCGGCATGGATTGAGGAGTTTCCGAATATTTCCAACAAACCCAATTCTTGTGCCACTTTGGTGACAAGTTGGACGGTCATCTCCCCAGTGGATGCCGATGGTGGGATGACCACAAAAAAACATGTATTTTTTGTAAGTAAGATTCCTGGAGTAGATGCTATAGAATCTGGAAATGTCAAACAGAATGATCACTAAAATGGGAATTTGAATATGATTGAAATTGTCATATCTACTTCAGGATGATTGTAGAAACACACCATTTTGAGACCATGGCAAATATTTTTTCCATATGCCACAGATGGACTTCCAAGTTTAAGGATGCGCCCCAATAGAAAAAGGTATGAAAAGGTCAGGTTTTTATGATGTTATACCTTTACAAATCATTTGAGCAGTGTTCAAAACCCTGGTTGGTTGATGATTATAGGGGATTATACTACAGTACCCTTCATATATTGATATTGGGGATTATAATAAGTCAAGAACGGGGAATCCCTTTCTTAACCAAGTTGGCTCCAAATCAATACATCATTGATGACTAATATATACAAAAAATATATATTGATCTATGGTTATATAAGTTATATATATATGTATAGTTATATGCATATTCCCATTTATCAGATTTATCAGATATGTGGATAAATTTGATCACGACCAAAAATTGTTCTCCCTCACCGAAATGGTGGTTTATTGTCCAGATATTTCCAATTTGGGTGGCAAATAATGAGGTAATGAATTACCTGTATTTGCTGAATATGCGTTTTTTTTCCATTGGGAAATCCACTAGAAATGGAGAATCTCTAGGGAATATGTTTTTTTTTTTTGGGGGGGTCCCAAAAAGCAAGTCGAACTTTACCATGCTCCATTCTGGCAAGATTTTCTGGATGTGAACCGAAGGCATTTACCATGCCCCTGCAGGAGTAGCATCCTTTATCATCAACAGATACAATGTGAGGCCCCCCAGTGATGTGAACGTTGGTTTAGATTCGCCCCATCATTGACTCACAGGGTGGTTGGTTTTCATGGGATGTTTCTAAAGTTTCCTACAATGTGAGGCCCCCAAGATAGCTAAGTTGGTTTAGATTGCCCCAGTAACTATAGTTATCTGCGTACCATAAACCATAGTGAAATTGGAGTTATGTGAACCCCAACTTAGCGTTCGTAAACGGGGGCCTCACATTGTAGTGTATTGGATTCACAAGAAGAAAATCACTTCCATCACAACAGGATGGCAATGCATGGTAAATCATCGCCAGTTAGAAGGGGAACACAAAGGAAAACCTGTCATATCGTACCTCTTTATCTATCCAGTTTATCCAGTTTT